CAAAGATGGCAGCTGCAGCTTCCCTACCCGAAATGAAGCCACAGCTACCATCTTTGCAAAGAGCAACCAGTGTCCCTTTCTATAAGCCATTGCTGCAGAGGCCTGCTGGAGACGGCAGTGGTGGCAATGAGTACAGTGGGGGTCATTGGTGGGGTGGGGTGGTGGCAGGGCGGCAGCAGATAATGAAGTGAGAGGAAGGGGGTGGGTGAATAGGCTGTGGGGGTGGGTGGCTGCCTGTCGGCACACTGATCAGATGATCGGCCGGCCAGTAGGCAGAATGGGAAAGCCATAGGAAGAGAGGGAACACTATCTTTCCCTCTCTCCGTATGGGGGACTAATAAAAATGGGGCAATATTTGTCCCTTCATATTCATCGGGGTCTCTCGAACCCACAAATATGAAGGGATGAATATTTAATGAATCAGCAATTTCTGATGAATATTGCAATCCGTTTTTTATTCATCCCCATGTCTAGTTAAACCTGATGTAGTTAACCAATTAAGATTTATTCTTTTCTTTAGATAATCCACTATATGTTCAAAAATATTGTGGAATCACAGAGTTGGAAGGGATGTTACATGTTAAATGTGTGAATCATGAGAGATGTCTGGAATTCTTATGTTTCCTCCTGTGTCATATTTTTCTTGCAGAAAAGGTTCCATCACCTGAGTATTTGGAAATCCATGAAGTATCTCCAGAGAGTTTTAGAGTCAGCTGGAAACCACCATCTTCTGACGTAGCTGTTTATCGACTAGCATGGGTCCCCCTGGGTGAAGAAGATGCTGAAGAGGTGAATGCACTTGCCTCTCATGTGGTATCTTCTCTAGTTACAGTGAACTCATTCTCTGAGTGTGGGTCCTGATGTATCAAAATGACATATGTGATGAAGGTGTCAGCGGAGATAAAGGAATGAAGAAAAAGCCTGGGAATTTGTATTGTACAACATTCAATTAATATAATGAACAAATGAAGGTTTCCATGAATAACAAAATTGGTAGGGGGGGAATCCTTAGCAGAAAGGGGAGGGAGTCAACAAGAGCCCAGTGACCATGAAGAAGTGGGTGGAATGATAATGGAATGGACCACGCAAGAAGAGGGGCGTGGCTGTTTGGCTGACTTGTTCCTGGAAGAGGGATATTCCGGACTTTATTGCAGATTTCACTTACTGGACAGATTTTCAAGCCCTATATTGTGAGGGAAACCTTGGGTTCTCTTTAGGCTTATCAAAGGTTACTTCATGAAGAAATCAGAAATAGCTGTTAAGGTCCCTAGAAGACAGCTTTTTCATTCAGCTGTAGAGGGTAAGAAGCAATGTACTTCAGGGCAGTATGAAAAGGACTATAGGAGACCCCGAAGCTTTGGGCATGACCACTGTAGAAGGGAGAAAAGATCTGTCTAAAAGAGTTTTCTCCTGTTAATTCCTACCACCACCACCCTTGAAATTGCTGGCTACAGAAAGAGAGGAGGAGATAAATACAAGATGTTTTGCAAATGTACTGAATAAATTATGCAGATGAAGCAAACTATTCACTGTGTTTTTTTAGCATTTTCCTTCTGCCTTTCAATTGCACATTGTTGTTACTTCAGTTTTTCCCCCAAGGGCCCAAAGTAGAACTGTAAATGTTTTCTGTTGTTTTTGAGGCAGATAAATGAGAGTTCTCACATAATGCTCTTGAGAAATCTCACATAATGCTTTTTATTGTAAGCATGGCCATCTGTTCTCCTATAAAAACATTTAAAATTGAAATTTGTCTGAGCAACCGAGACCAGTAAGCTGTTTCTATACCTCTTGTTTAAGATTGTCTTAAGTGGAGAAGTGGACACACATGATATCGAAGGTTTGCTCCCCAGTACCGAGTATGAAGTGTCCTTGGTGGCGATCTTTGATGATGAAAGTGAAAGCGATGTCCTTGCTGTTCTTGGGACCACACGTAAGATGAGTAATATTACAACCTTTCCCACACAGTGCTTAGTTTTTAGAAAAAGAAATGAAATAGCCCAACTTTGTCCAGTTTCTTTCATGTATGGGAACTTTCTGTAGTTATTTAGTTATGTACAGTTGTGAGCTGTAATATTGTACACAGACCAAGCCTTTTCTCCAATTAAATGTCAGGACTGGTCTAGTAATAATCCCATTCAAAGTTATTCCATGTCGTGGACCAAAACATCTCATTCTCAGACTTAAACGGTTCTAATTTAGTGTCAAGTTCAAGAGTGACTCATGCTTGCTGCACTTCTTCCAGGTGGGGTAACGCAGATCAGCCAGTAGCCTTCACAACCCAGCGTTGCATAAATAGTTGTGTGATTCGATTCTGTGTTTATTGCACCTCGTTATGGAACCAGATGCACAATAGCCACCTAGCGTAATATTACAACCTTTCCCACACAGTGCTTAATTTTTAGAAAAAGAATAGTGCATCTTTAATTGTGCAAGTGGAAATCCTCACAGGATAATATCCATGAATATTTTAATTTTAACTCATGGTAACTGGAGGTGAATTGACCTAATCTGTGCTGTGTAAGCTCCTGTGTATACTTGTAATGACACTTACATAATGTGCACAGTGGAGGATGAGGAGGGTCTTTCACTTCTTGTCATCTCCTTATGTTATCTCCTGACATAAGCTGTTTAGTATCAGTTAGATCAGTGGTCCCCAACCTTTTTGGAACCACAGACCGGTTCAGGGGGTGGGGTCCATGTGTGGGGGAGTGAGGGAACCCCCCCGCGCTTGTGGGTGGGCATGGCACATTCACAGATGGACATGGCATGCTCATGCGCATGTGTGGGTGTGCAGGATGCACTTGTGGATGGGCATGGTGCGCTCGCAGGTGAGGGGCGTGAATGGACATGAGCGTGGCATGCCCACCCATGAGCACACCACACCCACCCATGAACGCACCAGTTCACCCCTACATGCGCACGAGCGTGCCATGCCCACTATGCGTGCATGCAGGGGGGCGGAAGATCTGTCTCTGCGGCCCTGTCCTACAAAGCCTATGGATTGATATGGGCTGTGGACTGGCGGTTGGGGGCCCATGAGTTAAATAATGTACACAAGAGGCATGTAGAAGCTGTTGCTAAAATGAAACTGTGTAGAAAAAGATTGTGTCTTTTTTTTTTCTCCAGTTGAAATGCTGACAACTGAAACAACCACCCTAACCACTACTCCTGCTACCACAACTTCCTTGCCTATAACAAAGGGTACAAGATATATTAAATTATGGTTATTATTTTTTAAATTGTAAAAAGTCAAGACAGGATTCCTTGAAGATTAATCTTTGATCTTGGGATTAATGAGCCATAAAGCCTTTTCTTGAATCACGTTTTCCTTTTTTAAAGTAAAGATAGTGTTTGATGTTTACTTGCTTTTAATTATTCACTTGTATTTTAATTAGCATTTAGATTAATTTCTCCTTAGTGTTTAACATTATGTTTTAAATTCTATACTTTTAAATACTGTGAGCTGCCTTGGGTCACCTTACTGGGAGAAAGGCAGCCTATAAATAAAACAAACAAACAAACAAATATTTCCTGCCATTTGATTTGGCCTAGTAAAGGTATTATCACAAACAGATTTGGGATTTTAAAAAAACACACACAAAATGTCTATCTGTATGCTTCAAAGTGTACAGTTCAGAAGATTATAAACCCATTTGAAATATTATTTCAGTCTTCCGAACAGCCATACGAAATCTTGTCATAGATGAGGAAACTACTTCAAGCTTGAGGGTGAAATGGGACATTACAGACTACAATGTTCGTCAGTTCAGGGTGACCTACCTCACTGCCAATGACGATCGTGGGGAGGAAGCCGTAAGAACGGTTGGTATACATTTTTCAAATGCTTTTGTTCAGGCTTTTGAAATTTGGGCTCTTGTGTTGCATGCATAAGCCCATAACACACATGCATTCTGTTCACATTGCAGAGTACAAGGCATGAATCATTCTACCTTTCCTAATCAAATGTTTAACGATTACCTGTCCTCAAAGACCTTGCAGTCCAGGATTTATTTATTTATTTAT